AGGAGTACATTTATTAACATATTTCTTGTTGTATACTGCTTCAGGATCTGGTGTGGTAAACCACTTTCTGCTTTTTACTGTGTAAGTGTTTTCACCTATAATCTGGTATCTGATAACTCATTGCATACCTCATATAAGACATGAATTACCTTTGGTACATTGATTGAAATCACTGAGAAAGAGTCAGTGGGCTCTAAGAGTTTTCATTGTTTTTGCTAAATGTTCTAGAACAATGGGCAATGAAAAGCAGTACAGCGTGTGTTCGTGTTCTTTGTCTCTGTGATCAAAAACAGCTGTCTGCTGTTTCAGATTATTTACAACAAAACTAAACTCAGTAATATCAGTAATAAGTGCAGCTTCAGGTTGGTCATCTGAACCAACTATTTATTTCCGGGACTCCCAGTATATGTAAAATAATCAAATTTAACTGAATTGAACTTGAAAAATTATTTCATAATTTTATATATAAATTATGAAGTAGTGTGGGATTGCCTTTACCACCATTCCCATCACTGCAGTCAGCTCCTCCCGGTTAGGATTCCTTCAGTGTTCATGGTTTAGGAGGTTTCTACTGGGAGACCAATAATCCACAGAGGTCTCCTACTCTCCAAAACAGGAACCGCTAAAAACACTGAATAAAGCAGTTCCACCTTAAAAATCACTGTTTCTCCCACACTGTTAGGCAGACAAAGGACGTCCCGGAGAGGCTGCGAGTCGAGCTGCTGCTAACATTAGCTCAGCTTGTTTCTCTGATAACTTAAGATCCAGACGTCTGATGACTAAAATCCTTCATCTGGTTCACATCTGGAGTTAAAAAGCACCAAGATCTAAACAGTGGATGGTAAAAATGTGTCTTCAGACTGGATAAACAACGCTGACACATGCACAAAGGGGATATCACGCCACTGACAGGCAACTGGTGAAACGCAGCATTACCTGAATAAAATGACAGATTTCTCTGAGTTTGAACATTGTTGGAAACATTTGGGATAATGGAAGTACACAACTCAACTACATACAGAACATAGCTCTCATAGACATTTTAACATGGAAATGTTACAGATTGTAACTTTAAATTCTACTCACTCTATAATTGTATGTTTGGCACATGGTTATTGTATGGATGATTGTTAAGCCAAATAATATTGTACTTATATGTACAGAAAACCATTGGATCTTCAGGATGTCCAGCAACCTGTATTCAGCTTAAAAAAGGACTTCAGGACCACAGTGTTCCTCATTACGTAAAACAATAAAAATGTCCCACAAATGTTTGCCTTTAGGAAAGGCTTTAGGATTGGCAATAAAACAGATTCCTCACTGATCTGAAACAGCTGTCACTCAGTTTCACTTGCAACACTAAAATTGTTATTTAATTGTCTTTACTATCACCATGGCGATGCAATAAATAAATAAACATATTCTTTTCATGGTGGAGATATTAGACCATCCAGGGACACTAGTTCCTTCTCACTGCAATAGTTTCAGTGGTCATTAGCTCCATGAGGCAGGGCACAGGTAGTTTCCTTTTCAGGTTTCACAGATTGCTGAATCTTCCCACACTGTGCTGGGGTTATTGGTCCATCTATGGAGAGAAAGCTGCCCTTCCTCTCTGCTCCCCTACAGAGCTCCCTCATCTCCCCTTTTGGACAACACAAATATGTCTTGACAGGCCTCTTTGTTGCATTTCCCGGCGGTTTAAGTTGTTCAAACCATAGATATAGAAATGTACCGTATTCTCGATTTGACGTGCGTCTGCACAGTCACCATGTTGGGAAGCTCAACATCCACTAATTAACAATACTGAGAGATGCAGACCGCACTACAAAATCAACTGTAACTTGCTTTATTCTGAAAAATTCTGAAAGGTTTGATAGAAACAGTAAATTTTGAAAAGAACAAGATTTTTGCCTTTTTCTAAAACAAGTTAATGCTCTTAATGGGAAATGGAAACAGTTCTAAGTTCTAAGAAGAAAATTTGTAATACATAGTATAAAAAAATCTACAAAAAAATTTCCAAGCAAGATGTCCTCACAAAAAGAACAGCATCGATGGGTTGTCCAAATACCTGAAATACCCTATGTAGCCAGACCTCTAGCCGTTGGGATTAGGACCATTGTCTATAACTTCTTCTCAGTGTTATAGCTCCTCGAATCCTCACTGATCATGGTGGACAGACCAGCTAATAAGGCATATGACTTAGAGATGGGACCATGCTGTTATCTTCCCACTTGCTACTAACAGGTAACTGACTGGCCATTATTATTTTTTTAATATTTGCATTAGAAAGAAAAAATAATCGTTAAAGTTTGACATCCTTCTCTTGTCTTCTTTTAAAAAATGTAATCATATTTGCTGTATTATTATGTAACATTTCCTTTTTTCTATTTTTATTAAATTAGTGAAGTATCGTAAAATATAATTTCAGTTTATTACACCTAAGTTCAAACTTTTCTATTCCAATTAGTATTCTGTCTTAGCCTTGTGATAAAGTCTTAGTCTTCGTCTTTCATTTGGTGACTGGGTGGGTTGAAGGCTCCACTCTGTGTGTCAACTCTTTAATGTGGTTTTTTAATCTAATTTAGTAAAAAAAAAATTGTGTTCATATTTTAAATGAGTAACTTAAATCACATTATAACTCTATCAAAATTTACTGGTCCCATTCTATGGTATATAGTGTAATGTGTTTTTACAAAGGAAATGCTGTAAATCTGTTTTCAAGATCTGTAAAAAATCTATGACATTCACTGGGACAGTCCTGTTGAAAGGCGTGTCATTTTGTGTCAATTTGGAAGTGCAGCTAATCTCTGTCGGATTGCTGCACTGTATTGTACTGTATTACGCTAGTGCTAATCAGAAGAACAAATACAATGGCATTCAAACCGGAAGAGAAAAAAATGGGCATCACATTATGAGGTGAATATTTTTGCTGGAAAAAGTTTTTCCCCCAAAAAATGTGACAAAAATTTATTTTTATTAAAGTTTCCTACTGCAGCTTTAAGTTACAAAAAGATGGTGGTTTTGAAAAAGTCAAAATTGTTAATATTTATTCAAGATCAGGTCTTTTTCTAACTTTAACCAAGTGCTGTAAGTCACCTGAAAATGTGATTAAAATGAGCATTTTGCTTTGGCATCAATATAACTGTTTCATTATTACATTGGCAAAATGTTACTCCAAAAAATTAGTGTAACTTTAGGACAAGGGGTTGAGTAATACAAACAGTGTCTTTTTCCTTTTCAGTGTTTCTGTGATTTTCTGTGAAAGTGTGTGGAGGCGAGGTCCAACTACAACAGTCAGATGGTTTTCTAATTGCTACCAGGAGGTTTCCCCCCAAATGACACACTGCCGCAATGTTCCCACACAGTTACTCAATCCATCAAAACAGGTCACAAAAATTTAGTGCAGACTTCTGATGGACCCAACTGCCATTACCTTTAATAGAGGACATTACGGGCATCACCGATTCCCACAAGAATCCAAAATACCCACTGCTTTAGCTGTGATCTCTTCAAGTATCTACTTAGTATGTTTTCCCTTCAGTCCCACATTCCTTGGCTTCTTTCCCTGCTCCCTGGCCCAAGGGGCTAATAAAGAGAGGAGGACTATTCCACATGTGGGACAGAATTTGTCAGCTTATAGCAAAAGAAGTTTGCAGGAGATTGTAAAGTGAACAGTTGATCCAACCTCTGTATATTAAGTTGGCCCAACACAACTACTCAATCCTGAAAAAAAGCTCTTAAAGCACATGACAATACAATACATGATTTAATTAAGTAAATTCAAAGACTTTTACATAAAAAAAGTACAACAGACAACACTGGGGAGGAACAAAAGCCATCAAGTCCAAAACCTCGCAATTTTAAATGATTTGTTTTTGTGGGACCAAATTTCAGATTTGTTTGAATTTTGAGCAGAATATGTCCTCTGAGATTAGTTATCCTGATATTTTAGGTACTTATTTCTGACAATGATACAAACTTTATAGGCTATTTTTTTTTTTTGGTTGTTCAGTTTTCTTCTCATTGTTCTATTAGCTCTTTGGTTGTGTACCCTTGTCTCTGCTGCTCTGTGTATTTTTCTTTCTCTCTGCATTGCTCAAGTCTCTCTTGTAAAGGTGGTGTTGATGTCAATGAGATTACCTGGTTAAATAAAGGTTTTTATAGTTAAACCTTAACTCAAACTAAGTTTGTTGCACATTAAAGTAAAGTTACTGTTTACCACAAACTCAGTTTGAGTGTTCTAGAGTGAAACAAAGACAAAGAACCTTAACTGATGTTAAAAGACTTTGCTTTGATTTTGGTAGTTAAGGCAAGGACAACCCACCAAAAAACAACAATGTTGACAAATTGACTGAAGATACTGGCAAATTGTTCTTCATGAGAACAGCTTATTGCTTAGTTTCTCTTTACATTGTACACAATTAAACATTTTATTTAAACAAATGAGAAATACAGTTATATATATTATCACATACATCAGTTATTGGAAATGTAAACCCTTAGTAATTGGTATTATCATCTAATATCAGGCTGTCTCATATTTGCAGTTCCTGTGTGAGTTTCAAAAGACATTAGGAAGTTTCCTGATGAGATAAAAGCCAGTACAAAACTTCAACTGGACCACTTGGACCACCAAGTCTATCAGCAGTCCCTAACCCTAACCCTAATCCTAACTTTAACTCCAACCGTATCTGCAGTCAAGGCAACAGGGCATCAAGATGGTTGCGTACAGAAACACGGCTGAATACATGAGCAGCACTTTCCAAAGAAAGAACCAACTGTTTGATTCTTGTCAGGGTGGGGGTAACTATTGCTAACTCATTAGTCATGTTTCTCTTTAATCCAGTTAGTTTATGCACAGAGGGACAGTTACCAAGCTGTACGTAAATTGGGTGTCGTGTCTCAGCCCAGACATTCATGTAATCTGAGGAGTTCAAATTCAGCAAATCGTTTCAGAATCTCCCATCAGGCAGGCATGTGGGAGGGATCAGCAGGCGGAACGAAGCAGAACCTTTAGCGGTGCCCCCAGTTCTTCCATCTGCAGCCACTCTCTCTGTCCAGTTGAGCAAGAAACAACAGTCAGTCTGAGCAGCTGGTCTACAGCCACTTCTGCTGGGTTCACATAGCTTTCACAGGATTTTGGGTTGTGCTAACATGGCATCTCTGAAGAGTGTGCTTTCTCTGGGAGTCTGTCTGTCTGCTTGGATCATCACTATTGCAGGTAAGACCAGATAGATAGATAGGTAGACAGATAGATAGATAGATAGATAGATAGATAGATAGATAGATAGATAGATAGATAGATAGATAGATAGACATTTTATACAACATGGCAGACAGCTTCCTGGGGTGGCTCTACTCACTTTAGTAGTCTACTACACTAGAGCAGTGGTTCCAAACCTGGGGGTTGGGACGTCCACTAGGGATCGCAAGGCCTTCTTGATTTTAAAGGGTGTAAGAAAACCTAAAAAAAGTATGCAGTTATAACAACCAATGAGCCAATAGAACAAGCTAAGAAAACACTGAATTTGTCAAAAAAGAAGCCTGACATAAGTCAGACAGTTGTATAAAAGGTTTCTTAAAATTTCAGGAAAACTAATCTCTGATCAACATTCATGGGAAATAATCCGCTCAAAATTCATCCAAATATACACAAACTTCCTGCAGTTATTGTGTTCACTATTAACATTTTATCAGTTGTTCTGTTATTGTAGAAAAAGGGGTCCCTTAAGCAAAAGGGTGGTAATCACTGACGTAGAGAGGTTGTTTGCTTACAGCCAAAGCTTTCAGTTATAGCAATGGGCAAACACACAAGTAAGTATTAAGCCTTTCGGTTTGATACAAAATATGGCATTAGTTTCAGGTTCTGTAACATTCACTATATAATAGTAGACAGAGCTTCTAGATCAGTGAAGTGAAGCCAACGTGGAAGTGTGTCAAACCTGCATTCTTTCTATTACCTGCATTCTTTCTAATACCCAGCAGGGGGCAACTCCCTTGGTACCAAGAAAAAATTCTGATAGTATTGAGTCTTGTGCAGAAATTACCCTACTTTTCACTTGATATGGTCTCAATTGCTAATTTCAAGTCTTCGTCAAGATTCTGTTCCTGCATTGACTATTTGTTGCCTCAAATTTGCTCAGAAACATATTTTGGTGTACTGTTTATTTGTAATACAAATTCCTGAATTACTGCTACTGATCAGTTGAAACCAAATTCAACACGCAGAACGTGAACACTGCTAGCTCTGAAAAACCAACATGTTGTTTAACAGCTTGTAACTGGGTCTGTAGTTTAGACTTTGGTTCCTACATTCCTGTTCTAACTTGAGGTTACAGTATTTTGGACAGTGGTAGGCCTGTGTCATACGCCTGTGTTTATGTACTTGCCTATGAAATTTCTGCCGCCACACCAATATAATGGAGGTGAATGGAAGTTCCACAGACCTCACTCTGGACAGTATATATACTATCTACAAAGTGTAGATATTGTACTCTTTAGATTATTCATTCATCTCAATTGTTGTTGTTGGGGAGGTCCAACTTTAGTCTCTGCACCAAGGCTACTCCTAGTCACTTCTTAGCTCTTTGGCTCATAGGGCTGCATGATGTGGTACAAGCATCATATTGCATCATCATTAGTGTTGGGAATAATCATTTTTGGATCACAAATTTCGCTTTTGTTATTTGCCTGTTGCACATAACAATTTTGATAATATTTCAATTAATTATGCAGATCAATTATTTTGGCTCATGCAATTTATTTTATAGTTGAGTTTCACTGTGTCTGACATAGAATGGACAGAGAGGATTCATAACCCTTGCAAATGCAAATTGGTTTCATATTTTGTATTATATGTATAGATTATTAATGAAAAATATATGAAATTATACATAATCAGATGGATGCACACTGTAGATAAGAATACATTTTGGAAATAGAAAGCCAATTGTGTGTATAAAGTGAGGCTCTTTATGAGGGTAAATGAACAAGAACTTTGCACAGTTGTAGCATTCTCCGGTTGTTCTGTGGAGGCATTTCAAAAATGCAGGAGTAATCAGTAAATGTTCCATGATAGTATTTACCTAATCATGATGCATCGTTTTTTTTCAGATGTGTTGGAATGTTAATTCTACTAATGCCAACAAGATGTTCCACTGCACTATTAAGTTTAATTTTTGTCACACAATCTGCTTAGCTCGATGGCAACGTTTAACTCTGATTATGGTCTCTTTATGAGAAAAAAGAGGATGGGGAGGTGAGTAATATTGTATTTTTTTTATAGCTCAGAACTCTTTGCCCCAAGCACAGAACGTGCACTGGGTCTCTCTGGACTTTAAAACCATCCTCACCTGGACTACCGAAGGATCTGACCTCACATACACTGTCCTGTACTCTTGGTGAGTTCTTACACACACACACACACACACACACACACACACACACACACACACACACACACACACTCCAACCCTAACCCTAACCCTATCCAAGAGGGAACTACTTTTTCTAGTCATTTAAAAAAAATAGAAATCGAAAAAAGGAAATGTTACATAATAATACAGCAAATGTGATTACATTTTTTTTTTAAAGAAATTGCCAAGAGAGGGATGTCAAACTTTAACGATTATTTTTTCTTTCTAATGCAAATATTAAAAAAGTAACAATGGCCATTTTAATTGAGAATAAAAACTCTCTCTCACACACACGTACAGAATTACTGAAGTGCATTACTCAAAGAAGAGACTATATTTTAGATTTTTTTTTAATTGGTCACATTTGACCGAAATATAACACAAGGGTAATATTGATGCTTCTATATGACCTACATAAGAAGACTGGCAATTTCTATATTGTTATTATAGGTCGATTCCCCCAAAATCAATGAAACAAGGAGCTAGAAACACTACCGCTTTTGTCCACAGGGGCTGCCAGAATCCACACAAAATAAAAGTTCCTTGTACGAGCTACTAATATGATTTGAATACCTGTTAATATTTTAGCTTTACATTTTTGTACTTTTACGTTAAGTAAAGGATAATAATACCAGGAGGTCTATTTTAAATGATACACACATTTGGAGGCTAATCATGCACAAAGACACTGCATAATATATTTTACTCTCATAATTCTTCTACTTTAGGTTTAACTTTTTAAAATCAGCTTATCTCAGTACTTGGGGACATCAACACCTGTCAATGACTTAAACTGTGGTGGAAGTTAAAGTGTTTTCATGGTTCTGTCTTTTCAAATGGAAAGAACTTTTCTCATGAGTCATGCAACAGTTTTCTCATACATATTTTATTATTATTTCTTTCTTTCTCTGTTCGTAGTGTGCAATGTGCTCCTCTCCTGAAGCGATATCACACTTTGCGTTTCCAGCGAGAACTAGACATGTAATCTGTTTTTAGTGCTGGATCATGTCAGGAACAGGAAGTATCCAAATGTTAGCAGTCTGCTGCATTATTTTGATTATGAACAGTTTTGTGTGTTCTGTCATGTGACCATCAGGGATAAAACTGACTGGCTGGAAAGTGCTGACTGCATCCAAATGTTAGACACAGAATGTGATCTGACCCACAACCTGCAACCCTACGACAGGTATGATAAAGCCCTATATAACATTCCTATAATAATTCAATAGGGCTTAAATGTTTGGTAACAAACTTGACATTCTTTTGTAATTTCTAACCCCCCTCATGTTTTAAAGTATTATATACAGAAATACAGTATATACAGAAACCTATATTTTTCTGTTATTATATTTATGCTCTGTGACCTCTTCATCTTTATCTTAGTTTTAATTTATCCTATCAAATAGCGACATACACTTTGATGAAGCTGTAACTGAGAGTTTATGATGGCATAACACACCCATAGCATATTGCTTCCAGCTCAGCAGTGTGGACTAAATTTGTGAACACACTCAACTGCTTCTCACAGTTCACCAATATGGAACTTGAGTCTTTGAGTATGCAAAAGTTTGGCCACTCCTTGAAAAATAACGTATTTTGGTGTTTTCTTTATTATAAAGCTGTACAGTATGCTGCTGTTCGTGCTGCTAATTATGCAAGCACCTGGCAGTTTCTAAATGCTAAGTACTCATACTGTACATTTCTAGCATAAAACTTTGGGGTACACAATATTTCCAGGGTTCATGATGCTGACAAGTAGACTACCACCGCTTATCAAAATCCACACACCATGCATGTTGAATGCATATCACATATGTTCAATGTATGTCTGTTGAAAGGACCTACACTGCTGACATCCAAACAGAGCATGAGATGCCTGAGTCTGACTATCCCCTGGAGGAATTGAGTCATGTTTATTCTCCACAGTTCAACCCCTATAAAGAGAGTAAGTATTATACACACACAAAATGTCACTGTTATGTCTAGATGACCAATGGCAGAGCTTTTCTTTTAGCATCTCCCACAAATGCTGATAACATCACTATATAGTCAGTCATTGTTAAATAGTGTATTTTGACAGTTTTAATACAAAAGACAACGGTGCATTTTGCTCAGTATATGTGCAATGTCTTTGGCCTACATTGAAAACTGGGCAGTGTGTTGTGCACTTTAGTGGCCATTTTGACAGTGGGGAATAGGTTTCATGAAAATAACAAAATAACCCTCATAAGGGTATTTTTTCATCGGAGCATGACCCCAGACTCAGTCTTCGCGCCTCTCCAAAGAGTCACAAGTTTGTACTGTAGTATTTGAACCTTCTAATCTTTTTTTAAGGACATTAATCTATCTAACAGAATACTGTGATTAATTATGAACACAAATTATAAAAAGGTGATAGTGCCAGTATAACTGACTCACATTCTTCAGCTTTATGAATAAGACGCTTTCAACCTATATGAATAGGCCTGAAAAAGGTCTCATCATTACAGCCGATTTGTCGTCTCCTCAGGTAACATCAGTGCTGCGAACTTCACTGTGGAGAAGGTAAATAAGAGCACAGTAATTATCAGCATCACAGATCCTCTGACCAGCATCCATGAGCGTGGGAAGCAGCTTAGCATTAGAGAGATTCTCAAAAGTGACCTCCATTATAAGATCATCTACTACAAGTCTGGAAGTACAGGAAAGGTACAGTATTCAGCTGTCAACACTGACACCAACACAGTTTTACCTAGTGATTCACTTCTTGTTAAACACTACACCTAGCTTTGATACAGTGCTTTACATAAAAAATACATATGGGTCAAAATGTGCTGTAACTGTAAGTAGTTCATCAGAATTCATCGTCTCCAGCACGACTTCTTTTCAGAATAGTTTTTACAGTACACAATATATCCTCTAAAAAAGGCTTAAAAGAAAATATGTAAACAATATATTTAATAATGAATCAATTAATCCCCAATTTCTGTTGTCAAGTGCTTGCTCCTGGTGGGAACTGTTGTGTCTCTGTAAATCATTCTATAAGGAGTTTGGTCTAGACCTGCTCCATTTGAATGTTGTTATGTTATGAATTGGAGCTATACAAATAAAATTGAATTGAATTGAAACAGTCTTTGTTTAAAGCTGCAGTAGGTCATTTTCCTGGGCTCCCATTGATAACATTTGCTCTGTACAAAAATGATGTAGCTGGAGCCAGCAGCCAGTTAGCCTACAGCAGTCTTGGTATTGATTAAACAAACGAGACATAAAATGTTAATTGGTGAGCCAGGCTAGCTGTTTCCCCCTGTTTCCAGTCCTTGTGCTAAGGTAAGCTAATAGGCTGCTGGGTGTAGCCTCCATTATTAACGGACAGATCTTAAAGTGGTGTCAATCTTCTCGGCTAACTCTCAGCAAGAAAATGAAAGCTATTTTGTCAAGCTAGCAAATAACGTATAGAGCTTCACATTTCCATTGATATTGATACCAGGAAAGAAAATACTCACTTTAAAAAATGTACCAGTAATGTAAATTAGAGGTCCAGTGTGTAACATTTAAAATGATCTATTGTCAGAAATGGAATATAATATTCATAGCTATGTTTTTATTAGTGTATAATCACCTGAAAATAAGAATCATTGTGTTTCTTAGAATGAGCTGTTTTTTATCTACAAAGGGAGCAGATCCTCTTCTACAGAGTCCGCCATGTTGAACTGCTATGTTTCTACAGTAGCCTAGAATGGACAAACCAAACACTGGCCCTAGATAGGGTCTTTCGCATTTTTCTCAACAAGCTGCGAGTTTCTCTGCCTCCATAGTTTCCCCTACAGTCTTCACAGCCCGTGATGTTCAGTTAGTTGTAATCTGCATCTTTACTTCTAGATGCCACTAAATCCTACACACTGGACCTTTCATTCTCACTGGGTATTCAGCTGTAGGCCTGTTACTGGAGTTCGAGCTCACCTTTAAGAGACAGACATGTAGAGGGACATTCTATTGTCTTTCCAGAAATAAAATAAAGAAAATGAATGTGGATAAGAGTTATATTGAAATCGAGGAGCTTCAGAGGCTGATTCTATTTTACCGAAGATACTTAAAGTAGTCTACGTTTTGATTTTTAAAAGACATAATGATGAACTACAGAGGTCATGAAAGTCTAAATGCAAAGCTGGTCAATTTGACAGCTTTTTAAGTGACTGTAACATTTCCTATTCTTGTCTGATAGAGAGAGGTCACATCTGACTCCAGCAAGGTAGAGGTGTCCCAACTGGATCCAGGACAGAGTTACTGCTTCATGGTGGCAGCTTACATCCCCTCCAGACCCAAAACTACACAGCACGGAGCCTGGAGCAGACAGCGGTGTACACCTGGGAGCAATGACACCCTGCAAGGTGCACACACTCTGTACACACTACACTACACTACACTACACAACACAGAAAAGATGTGGAGAGTAACATCAGCATGGCTGCAAGGACTCACAGGGCTATAGTGTTGAACAGCAGTTGTTTCTGCAAATTAGAAATGCACATTTTGGAAAAATTTGAAATTCCGATGTAATGAGTCTTGCTTGTGGCTTTCATGGTTAAGAAGTTCTTTTGTCTGGTGTACTTAGAAAAACGACCACGAAGTCTCTAAGCGTTCCCTAAGCCTCTAAGAGCTTTCTTGTAAACAAACGTGGTTTTGTTCACATTCACTGGGTCTTACCCAAACACAGTGTGCCTGACAAACAAACATTTCCTACTATGCTAAACAAAAACAAAACAGAGATTGAAGTCTGTTTTTGGCTCATGCAATCAAGGTACTTTTACATGTATTGGAGTATTTGTACCTTGTCATATTGGTACTTTTACTTACTTACAAGTACTACAACTTTTTAACTGGTCAAGAAACAGTCTCAAATGAGTGGACCGTAATACTGTTGCACTGTTGCACTAACAACAACAGTCACTTCTCTGTAGATAGCAGTTGATTTGAATGACAAAGATATGTAAAATTGGCAAATGTATTTATTGTTACTGTTGTCATTTTCAGCTGCAACTGTAACGTTTAATTAAAATGGTGGTCCAATCTATGTGACGTTTCTTGCTGTGCTTATTTTATGTACTTTGATAAACCAACTAGGGACATCTATTTCAGACATGGCACCTAATGCACCTTCTGCACTCCCGTTCACTGTCTATCTTGTTCTACCAAACATATAGTAAGAGCTGTCAGCTTGGCATGTTTAAAGCAACAGCAATGGAAACATCCTGCATACTATGCCTTAAAAATCAAATCATAACCCAGAAAACAGCAAACAAGTGAGGGACAGCAGACTGCAGACAGTCACAAATGTAACTATGTATGTATATATAGTCAGAAGCAGCAGCCAGCAGGGACACCGTTTTCTGTTTTAATTTTATTGTGGCATGTAAAATCCATGTCACACTCAAAAATAATTCACTCAGACCAAAAGCTAAATAATTATTCTTTTAACTAATGTTTTTCATTAGTTCTGACACAGAAAATGCATACATAACAAGGATCTCTATATTACATTTTTATCTTGGCATTCTTAATCTTCCATGCTGGCACAATACAGGTTCCTGCAGATGTAAGCATTGCTCTACAGAGCCAAAAACTGTGTGTGTTTAAAGAGAGGAATTCATCTGCCTAACAGTGTCTCTCACTGTCCCTTCAGAGTGGAGTCTTGGAGCGTGGGTTGGTGTAGTCTTCATCTTGATCACAGTCTTCATCATCACGGTCACTGTGACCATCCTCTGCTGCAAATGCTGCAGACAAAGAAACAAAACCCTCCAGACGACTCAATCATCAGCGCCTATTTAATGTACTGTGTGTGTGTGTGTGTGTGTGTGTGTGTGGGGGGAAGCGTCTTTCAAACGAAGGGAGCTGGCTTCTCTTCAGTTTTCTATATCCTCTCTGTTTATAGGAAAACATGGTTTAGTTATCTATGCTCTGTGTTTTCAGTGGTCATTATGTTTTTTATTTCACATTTTAATATTTTAATACCTTGAAGGTGACCGTGCAGCTGCCGCTCATTAGTACTTTTGTGTTTTGTTTTAGAATATCAAATCCTAGCTAATTCTAACTAATCCTAACCACAGCAGCAGTTTCAACAGTTTTGTCAGAAACTAATTCAAAAGATTAAAATGTGATTTGTTAACCTGTTTTTACATATATCTTTATATTTTACTGTAGCTTACAGTTGTGTCAAGACTAAATACAAATAACCACTACATGTACAGTGAACTAAGCTCTTTGGTGGCATCTAATGGTTGCTCCATGGAACTACATCAGTATTCTCTACAGATCCACATTCAACTATACCTTTAGTCTTATGTAACTAACTCGTTCATTAATGTCTGTTGTGTCACTAGTACCTTTTGTTGATCAAAAGGGAAGAAAAGCAATAAAACACAAAAATTAAAAGGTTCTCTAGATTCTGTTATTTTTGTAATTCAATTATAATCTGCCTCTCTACCTCTCTATCAATTTGGGAGTTGCAATATACCTTTACTGACGATAACTGTGATATTAAAAAAATGAAATATTGATATCATGTTAATATTCAATTCAATTCAATGTTATTTGTATAGCATGAACTCATAACAGAAGTTATCTCAGGACATTCAAATAGAGCAGGTCTAGACCGAACTCCTTATAAAATGATTTACAGAGACCCAACAGTACCACCATGATCAAATAAACACACATGATAATTCTCCCCACACTCACATTTTTAATTTTGTAATTCATTTGTCAAATAAGAGACAAAACACACAGTAACGGTTAAAAAATTATTTTGACGGATAGCATTATTTTTTAATTTACTATAGATACGTATGTATATGTATACATATATATACACTGCATCCTTTTTTCACTGGGCTCAGACAACAAATGAAAGGTGCTGCATGTAGTGACAACAGACTATCTCACCAACAGACCGCAGTATGTGAGGCTCCAACACTGTGTGTCTGACGTTGTGCTCTGCAACACAGGTGCCCCTCAGGGTACGGTGCTCTCTCCCTTCCTCTTCACCCTTTACACCTCGGACTTTACCCACAACTCCACACACTGCCACATCCAGAAGTTCTCAGATGACACAGTCATTGTTGGATGCGTTTCTGAAGGGAATGAACTGGAATACAGGACTGTCATCATGGACTTTGTCAGCTGGTGTGAGCTCAACCAGCTTCAGCTAAACACTAGCAAGACGAAGGAGAGGATTGTTAACTTCAGGAGGAAAACATCCCACTTCACACCGGTGAACATCCAGGGATTGGACATTGAGGTGGCAGAGAATTACAAATTCCTGGGTGTTCACCTCAATAAAAAACTGGACTGGACTGACAACACCCATGCTCTCTACAAGAAGGGCCAGATTCGCCTCCACCTGCTGAGGAGACTGAGGTCCTTCGGGGTGTGCAGAGCTCTCCTCAGGACTTTTTATGACTCTGTGGTTGCTTCAGCCATCTTCCATGCTGTGGTCTGCTGGAGAGGGGGTAGTACGGACAGGGACAGGAAGAGACTCCATAAACTGATCAGGAGAGCGAGCTCTGTTCTGGACGGTCCTCTGGACTCCATAGAGGAAGTGGGTGAGAGGAGGATGTTAGTGAACCTGACATCCATCATGGACAACACCTCTCACCCCCTACATGACACTGTGGGGTCCCTGAGTAGCTCCTTCAGCAGCAGACTGTTACACCCACGGTGTAAGGAGAGGTTCTGCAGGTCTTTCATCCCTGCTGCTGTCAGACTCTACAACACCTGCACCACCTGCTCATGTTGTAGTGTCTGTTTTTAAAATTACCACCATACCATAGCTTTACCACTTTACCATAGTTTTTTTATATATATCTGTATTTATTTATTTCACGTAAAATGCTGCTGTGACAAAGGAATTTCCCCGTTGTGGGATTAATGAAGTAATACACCTTCCTCCCTCACTGACTGCTTCACCGAGCTCAAATCCTGGTTCTCCTCCAACTTCCTCAAACTCAACAGTGATAAAACCGAATTTCTTTTTATTGGCACTAAATCAATCCTCTCAAAAGCTAACAGTTTTTCACTCACCATCGACCACTCCTCTGTCTCCCCTTCCCCCCAGGTTAAGAGTCTGGGTGTCTTCCTCGACAGCACATTATCTTTCCAATCCCATATCAATAACATCACCCGGTCTGCATATTTCCACCTACGCAATATTAATCGACTCCGCCCCTCCCTTTCTCCCCACTCCACTGCCATCCTTGTACACAGCCTTGTCACCTCCCACATCTACTACTGCAACTCCCTTCTCTTCGGTCTAGCTCACAAATACCTCCATAAACTTCAACTGGTTCAGAACTCTGCAGCTCGAATTATCACCAGAACCCCCTCCATCCACCACATCACCCCTGTTCTACAGCAACTCCACTGGCTCCCGGTAAAACTCCGCATTGACTTCAAAATCCTCCTATTCACGTTCAAGGCCATCCACAACCTCTCCCCTCCTTATCTGTCCGAACTCCTCCACATCGCCAACCCTTCCCGTTCCCTCAGATCTGCCTCCTCTGTCCACCTCTCTGTCCCTCCCGCCCGCCTCGTCACCATGGGGAGCAGGGCTTTCAGCCGCTCTGCCCCCCAACTCTGGAACTCACTCCCACCGGACCTCAGGAACCTGGACTCTCTCACACTCTTCAAATCAAGATTAAAAACTCACCTATTCAGAACTGCCTACCCCACTTAACCATCTACATTGTCTTTTCTTATCTGTTTCTTATTTCTTGCTGTTTTTTTTTTTAGTTGTACGGTGTCCTCGAGTGCCCAGAGAGGCGCCTCTAATAATTTAATGTATTATTATTATTATTATTACAATACAATACAATACAATACAATACAATACAAAATAAACCTTTCCAGGACATTTTCCAGGAGATGGGACAGGACAGCACTTGTTCACAAATGGTCATATAACTTACTGGTAGTCCTTGTAGGTGGTCAGCGTCTGTGTTAGCTTGCTTTTGTGGCGTGCATGGCTGTTCTACAAACAAATTAAATCATTTATAGCAGAAATGCACAAAATTTTAATTTTTTTCAGCTGATACAATAAACAATCATTACCTGCTTCTCATGGCTGATACCGTTAAGATAACCGAGCTAAGAATGTTTTTTTAAAATATAAATAATAATTGTGTATTTTTTTTATCAATTTACAAAATGCAAAGTGAGCAAACAAAAGAAAAATCTAAATCAAATCAACATTTGGTGTTACTACCCTTTGCCTTCAAACCAGCATCAATTCTTATAGGTTCACTTGCACAAAGTCAGGGATTTTGTGTGATCAACTAATTATACCAAATGGATCCTAATGATCATCATCACATGTAGGTTGAAACACAGTCATTAACTGAAACAGAAACAGCTGTGTAGGAGGCTTAAAACTGGGTGAGGAACAGCCAAACTCTGCTACCAAGGTGAGGTTGTGGAAGACACTTTCATGTCACAGGTCATACACTATGGCAATACTGAGCACAGCAACAAGACACAAGGTAGTTATACTGCATCAGCAAGGTCTCTCCCAGACAAATATTTCAAAGCAGACTGGTGTTTCAAGATGTGCTGTTGAAGCTCTTTTGAAAAAGCACAAAGAAACGGGCAACGGTGAGGATCGCAGACGCAGTGGTCGGAGAAACTTAATGCAGCAGATGAAAAACACATCAAGCTTATTTCCCTTCGAAATCGGAAGATGTCCACTAGTGCCATCAGCTCTGAACTGGCGGAAACCAGTGGGACCCAGGTACACCCATCTACTGTCTGGAGAAGTCTGGCCAGAAGTGGTCTTCATGGAAGAGTTGCAACCAAAAAGCCATACCTCCGACATGGAAACAAGGCCAAGCGACTCAACTATGCACGAAAACATAGGAACTGGGCTTCACAAAAATGGCCACTCTGGTGAAATATTGGGCTGTAGCAGAAGACAGTATGTTCTTTGGAAGTTTGGAGCTGTATTTCTGCAAATGGAGTTGGAGATTTGGTCAGGATTAATGGTATCCTCAATGCTAAATACAGGCAGATACTTATCCATCATGCAATACCATCAGGGAGGCGTATGATTGGCCCCAAATTTATTCTGCAGCAGGACAACGACCTCAAACAACAGCCAAGGTCATTAGGAACTATCTTTAGCGTAAAGAACAAGAAGTCCTGGAAGCGATGGTATGGCCCCCACAGAGCCCTGATCTCAACATCATCGAGTGTGTCTGGGATTACATGAAGAGACAGAAGGATTTGAGGAAGCCTACATCCACAGAAGATCTGTGGTTAGTTCTCCAAGATGTTTGGAACAACCTACCAGCTGAGTTCCTTCAAAAACTGCAGGTGTAGAAGAATTGATGCTGTTTTGTTAATTGATAAAAATAAACTAACGCTTCCATTTTTGAAAGCATTCTTAATTTACAGCATTTTTCACACCTGCCTAAAACTTTTGCACAGCACTGTATATAAATATAATTTCCCAATATTGGCTGATAACTGATAATTATTATGCATCCTTAATTTATAGACTGTATGCATGTAGATATGACCCTCTGCACCATTTCCACTGGGCTTCCCAGAGATTTCGGTTCACGGTTATGGAAACATTGGACTTAATGCTGAAAAGATTGTTACAAGTCCACTTTGCATCTGGTAATACTTAACGTCTAAATGATGGGCTGAAATCCAATAAAAAAATTATGACTACAAACTGTTAGTTGACAGCTTTGTTGTCACTACAAGGTGATAATCTGTTTCAGGTAAATGTACTGCCCCCAGTTGGGCCAAAAAAAAAAACCAGCTAACTGAGGCAGCTTTAAAGGGCCAGAAGGGTACGTCTAGAGGCTTGTGCTGCAGGATGTAAATATTATGATAATAACTTTATTTATATAGCACCTTATTAAAAACAGAGTTTACAAAGTGCTTTGACGGACAAAGCAAATTTATACGTGATACACAAAATGTAATTTGATGTAAAAATATTTTGCCATTCGAAAATAATTAAAATAAAGAATTAAATTGGATAGTAAAGTAAAAAGACGACATCACATAAAGGCAAGTCTATAAAAACAGGTTTTAACAAGTGATTTAAAGGAAGTCAAAGCTTATATCCTAAGGCAGGCCGTTCCAAAGCTGAGAGGTTCTGATGGCAAAAGCACAAACTGCCAGAAGGGTACACCTGAATACCTAAGGCTGCAAACTGTCTCATAAGGGGTCAACATTTGGACATTAATGGCGACTGAGCTGTCAATCATGATGTGAAACGCCCCTTTTATAGCTTCAAATAACTAATTAAAACCAAACTGGTCAGAAAAATGAACACTTGAACATCAACGTGATCTGTCTAAAATGACAGAAACCACCTTTGAGAAAAAAGTATTTGACGTGTACTTAGATTTTTTTGTTTGGCCCCATGTTAACATGGTGGCAGGAGACTTTATGACCTATAAAGTTGGCCGTATATTCCTACTGTGTATGTTTTAGTGACAGGTAATTTTTATTGTTAGCCATGTAAATGTAGCAGGTAGCTTTTGCTGGGACCCAGTGTCTATATTTTATGTGTGTTTGTGTTTGCCCAACTATTAATATAATCATGATGAAACAGGGAACCACAGTAATAGTTTGTGTAATATGTATTTGTTTTGCATTAGTTGGAAGCAAGTTTTGTTTAATCGTTTTTACGGTGGTTCTAAGAGAAAACGCTGGACAGAAACGTGTTAACAATGTACTGTGTCTGTGTATTTTGCAGTGCCAGTAAAGGAAGAAAATACTAAGTCACTCTTTATTCACGTGTGCAACATATGTCGATAGTACATTGACACAAATCAAAAAGTTAAAAATAAACAGGGTTCCCACTCATCCTGGAAAATATGGAAAACCTGGAAATTTAGAGACTAGTTTTCCAGTCAAAGACCTGGAAATTGACTAAAATTACCAAAAATCCTGATAATATATTTTTTTTATTTCAGTTGTATTCCACCATGGACTACATAAACCTGGGTGTGTATTTTGTTTAAAACTCAACTGTTTGTAGGATGAGCTGTGCAGTTTGACACTTTAAAGAAAAATGCCCCCATCAGTCAGTCTAGCTGTTCACACCAGATGTGAGCCATAGGTGGGATTTTTAATAAAGCTCAGTGGAAATGCAGGAAATGCTCATACAAACTGTTAACTGTAACAAACACTGAGGTGAGAACAGCCAAGTGCGCCATAAAGGTGAGCTAATATTCAGTATGAACCCTGCATCATTAAAAAAGGAGTCAGTAATAGGCCTACCGGTAAACTATTTGACCGTTTTGAGCAAGTGCTGTTCTATATTGTCAAGAAAAATGGAAATGGAAATGACTTAAAAAGAGACTCTCTGGATGAACCAGACCATGTGCCGGAATCATAGATGACTTTTATTTATTAATTTTGTCCAACACAGAACCTCACGTTTAGACAGCAACACATACAACATCTCACATAAATGTATTATCATCACAGGAAAAAAACACAGAAGTTGTTTTAAATATTATTTCACTCAACCATGGATTTTAAAGTGCATACATCTGTATCATAGAAAACATACACACTGCAAAAAATGAAAAGCTCCACAAGCAATTTTTTCTTCTCTGTCTCTGAACAGCTGCTTTCAATAACATCCTGATCATGTCCATGTCTCAGTCATGTTACAGCAGATTAACAGCCTGTAAATAAATAATTATATAAAAATAAATAATACATAAATAAATATCTGAACAACAACAAATAATTTAACTGCAATCTGGGTAAATAATAAAATAGCTTGCTTGCATTTTTACAGTGCACAGAATGAGATTCTATTGTGCTACATGTGCCTATGTACAGTGATACAGGTTCTCCAAAGTTAGGAAACAGACACCATTTATCAGTCAAAAACATGTTCTTTTGGTTTTGGGGAGTGGAAAGTTGATTTTCCATAACTCAGATGTAGAACACTCATACATTTCCACTCATGCTTTAGGAGGAATCTCCAGGAAGAAAATTGTGAAATGTTTTTAAATCTTTTGTACAGTTCTTTCAATCAGTAATATTGTCGTATAAATGACTGTAATTTGGATCGGTACCAGGAACCGGTTGGTTCATGTAACACAAACTGATCCCTTCGACAAACAGCTAATGGGATTTCTATATTGGATTTTGGACTGTTGCAGAAAATATGCACTGTGGCAAACAAAGGTTCATGAAACTTACATGTTTTTTGTAAGTATCATTGATAATTTCACTAATGAACACCACACGCCAGTTTTGAAGTGTAAATGCGACCACCACAAGTAAAAAGCTAATGTTAACTACACCATGGTCGCTTGACTTCCAACTTGTAATTAAATCTTGTAAATAAAATCTACAAGTTGGAAAGTTTGAGTTAAAATAGTTTGCAAAACGTGAGTGTACACAAATATGGGACAGCAGTATGGGTAGTTGGACTGACGATGTTATGAAGGTACCTTATATGGATGGAGATCTTACTGTCACATCATATGATTAAAAGAGGATTTCTATAAAGATGTGGTTATGGTTCTTGCTGTGGAGGCCCCTTATGTTCTGAAGTACTGATAAAAATAAAGATTCTTGCTAAGTGATATAACTTGGTCATCATCATGATGAAAGTCGACATTGTGTTAGGACAAAGAATACATTTTAAACTTAATAGAATACATCTCGACATGGGAATATAACATGTTGACATACATTAATGAGACAGTCAGACCCAAGCTTCATTCTCTTTCAGGTGGTTTGAAATGGAAGCAGAAAAATTACAAGGATATGATGACTGTATCATACAAACTATTCAATTCAATTCAATTCAGTTTTATTTGTATAGCGCCAATTCATAACAGAAGTTATCTCAGGACACTTTTCAAATAGAGCAGGTCTAGACCGAACTCTTTATAACATTATTGACAGAGACCCAACAGTACCACCATGAGCAAGACCTTGGCCATGGCGGCAAGGAAAAACTATTGAATTCTTACAAACAACAAATCAATGAGGATACCAGTAGGACCAGTATGTAGGTCAGGCAGTATGTCAATAGGCCAGTAGTTGGAGTGGCAGCATTTTTCTGTGTGCTTCTAACAAACTGAAAACTGTGATCATGGTTCACTAGAGTTTTACTTTGTTGGGATCACACTGGATTTCTGACTTGAACAAAATGTGGAATCAGTATAAAAAGGTATGGGAAACACTTTTCATGCGTTTCGATGTGTTTTGTCTTTGCATGATAAATGTTTAACTGTATGCTCAATCTAGGTTTCATTCCAGCCAAGGATGCAAAAGAAATGTCTATGTAAACTGACAATAGAATTGTTTCGTATTGTTTCGCAGTGCATTGTATCGTAGGGGATACAGTATATTGTCTCAATATTTATTATCGTAAGTGTCAATACCATATTAGTTATCCCATTTAATATCACTTGTTGTTTAAGGTTTTCTGGGCAGTTATGCAAATCACTGAGCGGGACTGCTTTGTTGAAAATCTGAATTTTTAGATGATGTTTATATCATTGTACAAACATCAACAAGATGTGCTTTCATCTGCTGGGTATTTCAGCGAATGAAATACCCAGCAAAAACAAGAAATTATGTCTGGTTATTTTATTTACTTATAATTTCTCAATATATTTTCCAGAAAATGGAATATATAGCAATATCTATAGATATCCTGGAATAAAATGACATATACTGTGGTAAAGGACTATCAGTGTCTGTGCCTGTAAAGCTATTGTACTGAATGAATGACAAATGTGATCTATTCAACAGAAAGCAACATTTAACTGAACATGACTTTGTAAAGAAGAGAGCACTGACAACTGGCTCACATGGATATATTCATATTCATATATCTACTAGATTTCCTCTTCCCGTATACACGTTCTAATGTCCTGGTTATACGGGACATGTACATTGAATACAGTGTCAAAATCACAGAATGCTTGCTCTTACAGGTTTCACAGTGTTGTCATGCAGTCATGGCAAAGTACTAATGAGGTAGGCATGAACTGAAACTTAATATTAACTGAAATGTTCCTTCAGTGACAGCTAAGTCTGTTCCAGTGTAAGGGTAGACTGTTGGACACACCAACATGCTATCATACATTCACATTATTCTTGTTTATAAGGATTATTATAAATATGTATATTTCACTGTATTTCATTTAATGTGCACTGCAGAAAGAAAGGAATTAGTTACACAGCCTTTGTGAACTGTTTCATACACAGGGCTGCAACTAACTAACAATTATTTTGATTATTGATTAATCTGTTGATTTTCTCAGTTTACTGTCAGAGGACTGAAGAAACCAGAAAATATTCAATTTTAAGAAGCTGAAATTTTTTTCATAAAAAAAAGAAAAGATGATTGATCAATTATCAAAAGGTTGGCAGTTAATTTAATAGTTGACAACTAATTGGCTAACGGTTGCTGCAGCTATAATCCATAACAATAAGAATGTATGAATTGACAGTGTAAAAGGGGTCACTTATACTGATGAAACAACAGATTATTATCACCTTAATCTGCAGCTGCCCTCGGCTTTACAGGGCTTTACAGCGAGATTAAGCTCATTGTTTAGCTGTCTGGCCACAACTTTAGAGATCTGATTCACTCGCACTGCTTTCAGAGCCTCATTTTCGGTCGCAGGGAGTTGCTAGAGACTAAAAACAGGGCTAAAAGAGTTACAATTAGATTTAGATTTATCCGGTGACACAAATGCAACTCCAAATGTCGCTATTGTTGCTCCCTAACTGCTGGATGTGTAAATAGGCAACAGTCTATCAACTGAAAAAGTGATATGTCAGTGTTGTGTTCACTTGTTTCTGCTGCCCCCAAGTGGCCAGTTATTGCAAAAGAATGTGTTACTACATGCAGTTTTATCTTAAACCATTCAACCAGCAGGACTAACTACTCTCCTCACCTAACCCAGAGCCATACATAGACAGAGTCTGGACACTGCAGTCTTCAGAGGCAGCCATAACTGAGTTGGCAGATTACACATAGCCCATTTCTGTCTGAGCTCACTCACCCTCTCTGATGTCTTTGGTTTGATGAGGGTAAACATGTTGGAATGATTTGCTTATTGGCCTATCAGACCTCCCTTTAGGTACCTGCCTGTAAGAAAGCTTTTGGCCCATTTCCGTACTGTTTTGTGCTATAAAGCAATAAAGCGCTGCTCGTGTCAGATCCTACCCACTTCCTGGTTCTAGCTGGGTCCCAATTCCATACTTTATACTAACTCTAAGCAACTTCAGTGTGCAGGGTGTTTACAATAATTTATATAATTTGAGTTTGCTGTTGATTACCCCACAATGCATGCAGAAATGAATGAGCTGTTCACAACTGAAAAGTTAAAGATAAAGCCGTGACACAGCTTCAGAACAACCCAGAAAACCAAACCAAGAGTAAAACCTCTCTAGCTTTGTTTGTAAAGGTTAATTGGTAGTGGCTTTCCAAAAATAGTGAATACAATGATTTAGGTATGATAGCTAAATTTGTTCTCTGCATTTGACCTACTAAGTGTTGGGGGCAATGGGCAGCCACTGTGCAGCGCCCGGGGACCAACTCCTATTCTAAAGCCAGGTTCTCACACTGTGCGGTGCACTGCAGGGAGGTCGTAGATGACCAGGGGGAAAACCTGGAGTAGAACTAAGTTTAATGAATATGATTTATGTAGGGGAAATAAAGAACAGCAGATGTTATCGTGCTGATCTTTACGGCATTACAATTCTGAACCAGCTGATATATTAGCTCAAGTTAACACTAATGTTACCCTTTTGAATTTCTTTCAGGGGTTTTCTAATATTTTGAGTCCTGTGTTTTTTGAGGAGACTCTTGTCCCCACAATGCAACATAATGCTTTTCACAGCAGTAAATTCGGACGAGAAAGACAGCTCAGAAAACAGATCTTTGGAAACAAAAGTTTTGCTCACTGTTTAGTTTAGTTTTTTTTAAAACTGGCAGTAGTATTTCAAAGTATATCTGTCTGCACATACTTCCACACCTATCCTTTTGTGTTAATAACAAACAGTTAGGAAAATCAATGACTTGTATCCTTACTACCAAAATAGTGCACAGTTAACATTAGTGGATAGTTCTTATGATTTAACATAAGTAAATGGTATGGAACTGGGACACTGGTGTCGTGAAATGCAGTCTAGAGGCCATTTAACATTGACAAAGTGATGATCTATTTGTTTAATGCTACTGATTATGATCTGAAAATCTCGCTCATGCTGACTCCCAGTGGTTAAATATCTCACCTTGCGGCAGTGATGTGCAGGTGACCTCCGGGATTTAGTGACATCACTGCTGGGTTTGGTTGCAGGTGCAGCGAAGCAAACTTCTGACCCCACCCATCAGTCATGCTGTGGTTAGAGGTGAAACAGGCTTGGAACTTGAAACCAGAGATGGCAGTGACACACTGCTTTTCAGCCTGCTCCTAAGGCACTCTTTAAGGAGCACCTTAAAGTAACTGATGACTGAAAACTCTGGGGCACGTTACCATGGCGATGGTACTGATATGCACTCACTGTACAACCCGACCAAACTCTATCTACAGCTGTCATCCAATTTAGTCCTAAAACTACTTATTGACTAGATAATCTTAAAACCACAATAGTAGAGTACGTAATATATACACATTTTATCTGTGTGACCACTTACACATGTTCCAACACCAAGCTCAAATCAAAATCGGGGAGATTTCTTCCATGGTGGACCAATTAGCCCTGTCAGAAAGCTCAACTAAAAGACTTAGAGGACACAGGAGTGTGTTGGCAGCTGATATTGTGAATAAATAACAGAAAATGTCAACCTTATGGTTAGTTGACAAGCATCATCTGGGAACAGGAAATCAGTTCTTTTCTTTAAGACCACCCTCAAAGAATGTTGTCATTTTCTATAAATCACTAAATAGACTGAAGCCGTGAGCCAGTCATGGTTAAATATTGTGGAGTATGCTGGACCCATGCTAGTGGGTTTTTACATCTTGCCTACAACTCGTCATTCCATTCAGACTAAAATGTTCCCTTCAAAAGCTCCAAACATACAAATGTCTAGAATTATTGCCATAAATAAAAGCAGAATCATCTATCCCTCCTGTCTTCCGTCCTCTTACTTCTCTCCTCATCCTCCTCATTGCTTGTGTTGATGTTGTTGTGGGAACCCTGCTGACATGGTGAACCCACGTTGGTTGGTGATCACTTGAGGTCGATGCCCTGGGACTGAGCCTTCTCCTTGGCCTGAAACAATGGACAGCATAATGATAAACGTGATTAGAAATTATACAAATTATAAGCCATGATATTTGAGATATAAAGTGGTTAAGCTGTTTGCTGATCTATAAAATGTCATCACTAATGGATCTCAGCACAATTGCGAAGAACAGCAAAACAACACTGTATTTTCTGCAAAACGTCAATGAGGGCGCATCCAATTACATCTTTTTGTAATCACATTAGATTAATTCAGCTGACACTTTTGTCTAAAGCCACTTCCAAGTATAATTTTTACAGGCAGGGTGCACTTAGGGTTACCACTCTTTATGAAAAAAATATAATTTTTCTTGACAATACAGGACTTAGATTTATCAGGTGACACAAATGTAACTCCAAATGTCGCTATTGTTGCTCCCTAACTGCTGGATGTCTAAATATGCAACCATCTATCAACAAAAATTGATATGTCAGTGTTGAGTTCACTTTCTGCTCACATATGGTCATAATTTACCGGCATTTAATGATGCAGGGTTCAAGATAAAGTGTCTGAGGTTCATTTCAGTCAGTTTGCTTTTGTGGCACTCCTGGCTGTTTTCACCACAGTCGATCATTCTGCTGCCATCTCTACAGTTTTCTTCTAACTGTAACATTAATTCTGCCATCCATCCAAGTCCATAAGTAAGTTCAAAATCAAGAAAATTTGTAAATTAAGTTAACACCGCTGTGCATGTGCATATCAACGACTAAAACAAATGCAAAGGTGATCATTAAAGGATTTTATGCATGTAGATATGACATATCTACAGCTGGTGTGTCCAGGATATTTGGTCATTTTAATCAATTTCCAAGTTTTTCCATGATGAAAACTAGTCTCTAAATTTCCAGAATTCCAGGTTTTCCAGGATGAGTGGGAACCCTGGCACTATGTGCATAAAGGTTGCTTGGTAAAGCAGAAAATAAATAATTTCAGAGGGTATACTATTGACTATGACTATTAGTCACCTTTCTCAGTCTGTAGCCATGCTAGCTGCTCTGTCAGACTGTCCTCAGGCACAGCAGTGCTTTCAGCTAATAGCATACTAACATGCTTGCTTTCACACTGCTAACATGCTGATGTTTAGCAAGTATAATGTTTACCATATTTACCATCTTTGTTTAGCTTGTTAGAATGCTAATCTTTGCAAATGTGCATTACACAAAAGTGTACCTGCAGCTGATAAGAATGACATTTGTTTTGCAGGAATAAACACATTCTTTCAAAATATCATTTATACTATCATTGCAGGTCATAAACCAAGCTACCAAACCAATTTGAGCTGGTGATGGCACTAGGTCAATGGATCAGTTAATTCAACAATTCATCTTGTGGGGGGGCATGAAGGTTTCGACCATATTACATGGCAATCCAATCCATGTCAACCTGTTGGTGGCGCTATAGGAAAAGTCAGGGACTCACCAAAATCATTAGGTATTATCCTCCATAGACTATGAATGTCTGTACAAATTTTTTTATCTAAATCCATCATGTAGTTCTTGATATATTTTAGTCTAAACCAAGGTGGTAAACCATACAAGTATGCCTTAAAATACACCTGTGTTCTAGAGCTCAGTGACTGGATGTTGCAGTCCTATACCAATATCATCATTCGATTTTTTTCTTTTCGAAGTTATAACAATTATTCTTATTGGCAAATGTGTTTCTTAACATATCCCATTTATATTTTATAGCTGAAACGTGTGCTCTCTGGTGGACACTATATGTAATTTAGACACTACTGAAGGCGTGACTAGGTCCCTATAATAATTAGTTGTGGTTTGACTAAAGATCACAAACTATGAAAAAAGTGACCAGGAGGAACCAACAAAAGAAGAATCAGATCCGGTCCAAAGGAGAGCCAAGCACAGTCAGACCCATTCTGATTAGACTGAAGCACACAAAATGTGGTTGAAACAGAACCAAATACAACCGGACCTTGGCAAACCCAGTTACAACGAATATAATCTTGACATGGACCAATTTGAGGGTCGGGTCTCGGATACTGAACTGGAGTGGACCCATAAAGACCTGTATTCAGGAGTTTACTTATGTGAGTTGAATGCGTTTGGTTTTCAACTCACCCTGAGCGAAGGCCGAGGAGGCCTAACAGGTCTGACTGGTCGTACTGGCTCTGCTACTGGATTTGCCTGCCTTCTGTCCAGAGGCTCTAGGTCGTCCGCTACATCAGGACAACCGATGTATCCGCCAGCCCCGAACACTGAACCCAGGTCACCTTCTAACAAGTTGTGACTCATGGGAGCATTGGATGTAGCAAAGTCCTGGTTAGCGGACATGTTCCTGACAGCCATGTTGAGGGTGTCAGCAGTACTGGTGGTAGTGCAGATACTGGTGTTACTGAGTTCAAGTCCTAGCAGGTCCTCTGATGCCACATCACTGTCTGAGCTGTTATTGGTGGGACTGACATTGAGCTCTGGTTCCACACTGCATTGGTTATTATTTGCTTCGGGGAAAACTTCCTTACTCAACAAGTCCAGCACCTCCTGGTTGTCATGGCTACCTAAGTTTAGCAATTCCTGATCATCATTGCTACTGAGATGCAGGAGTTCCTGGTTGTCGTGGCCACCTGAAACTAGAACTTCCTGATTTTCTTTGCTGTCAAAATCCAGTAGTTCTTGGTTGCCATGGTCCACTTCCAGCACTTCCTGATTTTCAGGATGGGAGAAATCCAGCAGTTCCTGATTGCCATGGCTACAAGGTTCCAGCACTTCTTGGTTGTCATAGTTACAAGGTTCAAGTAGTTCCTCAAAGGTGATATTGCGATAGGTTTCCACCACCTCCTGGTTGTCATGACTGCAGAGATCCAGAAGTTCCTGGTTTTCATTGCTAACTAACTCCCTGTTGTCAAGGCTAGAAGGTTCCAGCACTTCTTGGTTTCCATTGTTACACAAATCCAGCAGTTCCTGGTTATTGTGGCTACAATGTTCAAGCACTTCTTGGTTTTCATGGGTATGAGGTTCCAGTACTTCCTGGTTGCTATAGTTAGGGGGTTCTACTTGCTCATTGTTGTCATAGGTGCAAAGGTCCATTGCCTCCTGGTTATCATGGCCACAGACTTCCAGTACCTCCTGGTTCCCTTCCTCAGGGCTGAGCTTAAAGCCATAAGGGTCAGAGTCCCGTGCAATCTGTGAGGAAGTGATGTCAAACCCATACGAATCAAAGTCCAGTTGATCTGGTTGAGATGCGGATGGCTCAGGGTCAAAGGTCAGATCGTTTTCAGCAGGTTCTGGACTCAGCTCAGCTTCATCCGGGTCTAAGAGGGTGTGACTAGAATGCTCTGGACTGAGTTTAAACCCGTATGGGTCAAAGGAAGACTGACTGGTTGGTTCATAGCTCAATTCAAAGCTCAGCTCTCTGTTCTGATCTGAGTCAGGCTGGATGAAGAAGTCCTGGGAATCTAGCGAGTTTTGGGGAGTTGCAGGGTTTCCGGGTTCCTCTTTGATGTTGCTTACCCATTCTGCCCCCTGACAGGAGGTAACATCATGTGAGAGAGTTTCTTCTATGTCACCTGTCAAATCTGGTTCCATCAGGACTTGTTTCTTGAGCTCAGGGACAGCCTGAGCTGAAACAGAACTCATACCTAGGAGAAGAAAACAATGAGGGGTCAAGGCAAAAAGTATAAGCCATCAGGGTGAGAATTTTCAGGACCCTAAAAAGCAACAAAATAAAATTGAAATCATTAAAATGACACTAAGTTTGCATACGTTATAATTTGAAACACTATCGTTAAATGTTTATAAGTCTATAAAAAGCCAGCAGGTTTAATGATATGTAGAAAAACATATCATATAAATTAAAATTAAATAACAAAATATGTATACGTGTACTACATAAATTACTGTAATATTGTTTTATTTTATTGCTGTATAATCGTTCTTTGATGCTTAGATTATTAATGTATCTATCTATTAATCTAACAGCTCAACAGTGACCATATTAAGTGGCATGAAACATGAGTTAAAATTTGGAAATGGATTTATGTATAAAGTACCTTGTTCCAGTCCTTGCGTTGCCTCTACGATAGCATCTCCAGCTAGAGATCCCAGACTGTGTTCTTCTATGTCAGAGGGAGGGGAGACAGCGCCAAGGTCCAGCTCATACCCATTAGGGTCTGATTCTACAGAATACTGACCCTGGGACCTCCAGCCCTGGATGGGATCCAGCCCAAGCTCCTCTGATGAGCTCTGAATGGGTTTAAATCCATGAGAATCATCAACTACAGCGATGGCGTCCAGGTCCTCTCGGCTGTAGCTGATCTCTATGTCGCTGTCTTCGTCGGGGAATTCAGACTCAAAGCACTGAGTTCCTGTTGAGGCTTTGTTTTCAGCACAGGAGAGACTGGTGTCTGCCTCATCCCCAACATTTCCCGCCCCTCCATCAGTGCCGATGGTCGCCTCTGGGAACAAAATGTCTGCTGCAAACGGATCACTGCCTTTGAAAGGGTCTGAAGTGAATCCATCTGGCAAACAGATTATTTAACAAAAGCTTATTGGAATGCCAGTTATAATGTTACATCTGTCCGACTTTCATTTAATAATTTCTATCATGGAAAACAAAGAAAAAGTCTAGTCAGAGTTGTGTCAGCAGCAGATAGAAATCCTTTATCTAAAAGTAGCGGTAGTAATACCACAATGAAAAAATGCATGCATTCAAAATCTTACATCAGTAAAACTGAATTAAAAGTGAAGTGTTGAGTAAATGCACTTACATGCAACTACTCTAAAAGTATTTTTTTTATGGTTTGTGATTTGGGACGATTTGGTTATCTCCTGATTGGATCACAACACTTTGATTGCCAATTTAATATATATTGTTATTATTATTCTACAAGTATTGTGATTCGATATTACAATTTATTATGATTTTTGTTTTCTTTTTTTAACAATAGACAATGAGAAAAAGGTCAATCATACACTTGGCGATGGCAGCAAGGAAAAACTTCCTTTTAAGAGGCAGAAACCTCGGACAGACCCCAGCTCTAGGTGGGTGGCCGTCTTTTTCGTTTGTTAAAGCTCCTGTATTTGGAGAGACAGTGATACCTGTTGATGGCAGTTGATGATTAATTTTGTTTCTAATAGAAATAATGTTATCATAAAAGAAGCTCATAAAGTCGTTGCTACTTAAGGTTATGGCGATACGTGGCTCAATAGAGCTGTGACTCTCTGTCAGCCTGGCTACAGTGCTGAAGAGGAACCTGGGGTTGTTTTTATTTTCTTCTATTAACCCTTAGGGGTTCCTAAAATCACACATCTGTTCCTAAGGCAATAAACTGCCACCTTCGCAAAAACTGCTGTAAAAATCTTATAAATCAATATTTTTTTCTACTTTAAATGAGTCAATCTTTTAAAACTACTCCAGCTTGAAATATAGATATCAAATAGATATCATATTTTGGATATTTTAACCCTTTAAAGGCCAATATGTTTACATAACTCCGCTGTTGTGGAAAGTCTCAGAATTTGTTTGAGACCAGTTATTTTTCCATTTTTTGAAGTCAATTTTGCTGCTGCTTCGTCAATTTCATCTTCAGATGAGTTTTCAGATGAGTCAGGGGTAGACACCAGATTATCTGTCTCTACCTCTGAGGCCTCCTCCGTGGAGGAATCAGAGTCCTCAGAGGAGGAGGATGAGGATAAGGAGCCATCTTCGCTCTTGGAGCCCATGATTATTTCAAGTGCCTCCTGTGTGCTGTAATGCCTTGCCATCTCTAAAATGACTACTCCCTCACTACTGCTCATACTTATAACCATGACTGCAGTGCACCTGCATCAACAGCCTGAACAACAGCCTGAACGAGAACCCAAACAAAGTCACATTTCTTTTGGTTCTCGCCACTCATAGTTTTTATTATTGAATTAGTTTATAATTCAATAATAAGAGATTCTAAGAGAAAAGACTTGTGAAGTTGGGCACGCACGCACGCACGCACGCACGCACGCACGCACGCAGCACGCACGCACGCACGCACGCACACACACACACACACATTTCAGTAGGCACCCTGGCAGAAAACAGTAAAAAGTGTGAAATTGTGCTGCATGCTTTGAATGGGAAAAAGTAATGCAATGTGGTGGATTAATATAAAAAATTAAAATTGAAAGCTTATAGACTAAAATGAAATCTTAACATAAAGGAATGCATTCGTTTATGTTAAGATAAACATGGGATCAAAAATGGTGTTTTGAATGGTTGTCAATGCGGCAGTTTTCTGCCGTAGGAACGTATGTGTGGGTTTGTGCGTAGCTTAGCCATTTTAAGCTAATTTAAGGAACTAACACCAGAATTTTAAACAAAATGCAAAATAACCTTTGGCAAGTTTGAGCTTCATTCATTGAACACAGCCAAAATAGCATGAAAATAAAAAACGGAATGGTAGAAAAATGTACCCAGGAAGGGTTAACACTGTCAGATAGACATCTGCTGCAGGAAGTTTTGCCTAATGGCTTATAATCTAATAGTATGAATTCAAAAGTTATTAAATAATGGTCAGATAGGAAAGGATTATGTGGGAAGACTATTAAATGTTCAATATCAATGCCATATAATAGAACAAGGTCAAGAGTGTGATTAAAACAATGAGTTGGTTTATTTACACTCTGACAGAAGCCAATTGAGTCTATTAATGATATAAATGCGTTACTAAGGCTGTCATTGTCAACATCCACATGAATATTAAAATCACCTACAATAATTACTTTATCTGATTTAAGGACTAAACTTGATAAAAACTCTGAGAATTCAGATATAAAATCAGAGTACGGTCCAGGAGCGCGGTACACTATAACAAATAGAACTGGCTGCAGTGTTTTCCAGTTTGGGTGAGAAAGACTAAGAACAAGGCTTTCAAATGAATTATAATTTAGTTAAGGTTCAGGATCAATTAAAATGCTTGAATTATATATGGCTGCTACTCCACCAGGAATGTGAGTATTAAAAATGACTGGGGTGGGTGGGGGGGCGTGGATTCATTCATCAACATACTCTTCGTGGCACAGCCAGGTCTCAGTAAGACAAAGTAAATCAATATCATAAGCTGATATTAATTCATTCACTAGAACTTATTTTATTTTCATTTTGTCATCTCCTCTAACAAAATGTCCAGAACAAGATCCTTACCTCCACTTAAAGTATCAAGTAAAATAAGGTTACTTGTACAATATTACTCACCAGATGAGTCAGTTTTAGGGAACAAGTCTTCATTGAAGAGGTCGTCTACAGATCAAGTAAGAAAGAAATAGAAAAAGTCACTATATACAACCAACCAAGCAAAAAAACAGAAAAAGAAAAGAGTACAGCATATATTCAGCACAGGGTACACATGCTGGCTCTAATGATGCTATAATGACACATTATACAGGCACTGTGCATACACAGTACTCATTGCTTTCGACAAACCCAAAATGGTGGAAAAAGTAATACACATACAATTATGTTCTGGAGAAAAATTAGTTCAACAGTGATTGTAGAGAAAAGAAGTACTAAAGAGGAGCAAGGTGGTATTTTAGTTTGGAAGATTTTACAATTAAAATCTCCAGGGGATGTTCTTGACTTTGTCCCATATTTTCAAGCTAGGTTACATTAAAAACTTGGGATGGGGCTAAGGCTTGTGTGAAGGTGAGATACAGTAAGAGGGTGGTGCAGTGTACATTCAATCTAGGAGATTAAATCTATACTTGATTTGGTTACCAAAAGGTTCAGTGAAATAGTAGTTTAGGTTCTGTGACTGATACATACGGTCGAAGGGGTCAGCTTGGTAGAAATCCAATTGGCTGAGAGGGTTTGGGTTAATAGTGGACTCTTCCTTCTCTCTCTCATTTTCTCCTGTGTTGTTGATCTCCCCCTCCTCTGGGTCATCCTCTATGTCCGATCTGTCTATCTGTGAAACATGAAAACACACCCAGGAGGACATGTTATCTAAACAGTGACCACTGCTGGCTGGTAGTCCTATGTTAGACTGGTTGACAGTGTGATCAGTGAAGCTACCCTTGGTGAGCTGGTCCCACTGTCATCTACTTCTTCCCTGGTGTCCGCTAGATTATTGCAGAAAGACGAGCCACTGGCCCTCTGGTAGCCACCCACACAGAAACAGAGAAACAAACACAGAGAGAGACAGAGAAAAGTAAGTGCAACTGGATCAATGGGATAAAGGTAGTCACACCTACTATACTGTACAGTTGTTTAATGAAGACTTTTCCTTTCTTGATATTTGGTGAGTTTATTTTGGTTACTGAAGTTGTTAGCGCTTGTTACATGTAGAAAAGCTGCCACTCATCTCCCAGCGGCAACTAATGGGGCAGGGGGCACTGGTGTAGCACATGCGCATATAAACACGAATGTATCGGCAGTTGCAGATTGTTGGACTGATGGTGGCCAGACAGGTGGAAAATTTTAACATATCACCATAACGTTAAAGAGTGCCTACCCAGTTTGAAGCATAGGGCCACTGAGCAAGCTGCCATATTCGCGTATTTGAGTGAGGAGTAGGACTCCGTTGTCATGTTGATGTGTGGTTGGGCAAAGGTTGTGGTGGAGAAAATGAATATAAATCAACCTTTAATCTACAGAAATCTTACTGATGTTAAGAGTGAGTGTTCAATATACATACATACATACTACTACTACTACTACTACTACTACTACTAATACAAATAATAATAATAACAATAACAATAATAATAATAATTCCACATAAATCGTATTTAATGACCTGTTGGATTGATAATATCATTAGTGGGATGGTTTTCTTCTTTTTCTTGCTTCTGTCTTCAAGGTGCCCTCATTACAGGAGCATCCTGTTTTCAGCAATCAAACTTGTTTGGAAACTTTTCTCATTTCTCCGAACTAGAGGACTGCCCATACAGGCACAAGTGTGGATCCCAGATCTATGAGATTTGTTTGGGACAAATATGAAATATATATGTAAACTGTGCAAAAGCCTCATAGCCTGCATGAGCCCTTAGTAGTGAACTGGAATAAAGTTTGGGGACTTGTGCGAAATGTCTCCTTAGTATAGGTCATGAGCCAAAACACTGGATCCTACACTTCCCATAATGCAACACGATCTTGTCCTTTAGACCCTCATGGTCTGGTAAATGCCAATGTCCAACTCCACATCCCCAGTCTGCAAGAGTCCACAGTGTTGTTTACTCAGCATGATTGCTGTGATTTACCATTATCAGGTCAGCATAGGCGGGCAGTGATTGGCTCCTTCCCCATGGCCTCATAGGAAGCGGATCATCTTCAGTGGTGTCTGCGGGAGATGCTGACTCCTCCAGCTGGCTTTCTGGAGTGACTGCACCTCCTGACAGCGAACACAAAGTGTGCTCCTCCTACACGAAAGACATGAAAACAGAGATAGATTTAGACTGATTTCTCTTTAAAGGTTATATAAAGTATGCGATTTAGAATGATGGTGTCCTGAGCAGGGAATGACATCACAACCTCTCTCTCTCCAGTCTGTTTCCATAGCTGGTGTTTCCTCGTGTTCAAATTACAGATTTTATTCTGTTCAATAAGTGATTTAGGGGTTTAATCCAACCATTCAAATGGGATGAATTTCTTTCAGAATGAGACACTTTTTTCAGATAAAGATGTGGCTGAGCTCTTATTCTGATTGTTAGAGAAGTCAAAGGCTCCATCGAAACATAGATATGAGAAGTGTTAAGTCTACTTTCTTTGAATCCTGCTTTTAATTAAAATCAGTAAATGAAACAAAAACATTAGACATTAACACATTATAGTGAGGACACTGCACAGGTTCAGTCTGGTTTTAAGCTAAGTGATGAAAATACACTTTCAATATTCAAAAAATATTCATAATGTATAATACATCTTTTTGTTATGATCACATTATGGACATCACACACACCCACACACACACACACACACACAGATGTAAACATCCTCTTTTACCTGCAGGATCTCTTCATAGGACTGCCTGATGGAGTCTTGTAGAGGAGTGTTCCTCTCTCCAGCCTCCTCCACCTTCCTCTTGGCCTGCTTCACCTCTTCTCTCAGCTTCTTAAGCCTCCACCTGGCTCTGGCAAGCTCCCTCTCATACTCCTCCACCTGGCTCTCCTTCTGCACCTCGTCCGCCTGCAGAGACAGGATCTGGCAAAGAAAGGACAGAGGGCCAGTCCAGTGTTGGTATTATTTATTAGTTTAAAGCATGTCTGAATCAGCTTTCACCAGGGCCCTATCAGTTCCAAGTCCCACTGTGCTTAAACAATCTTGGGTAACACTTTATAATGAGTACACACTATTAAGCATTAGTTAAGCATGAATAAATACTGAATTCATCATTTATAACGCATGAATACACATTAGTATGTAGTTTATAAACACAGTTAAAAATGTTTTATTCATCATTGATAAGCACATTAGTTATGGATTAGTAAATACTGAATTCATCATTTATAAAGCATGATTCTGCTGTAAATAGTCATTACTATGTGGTTTATAATCACAGTTATAAATGTTTTACTCTTCATTGTACTGTACATTTCTACATGCACTTGCACATCCACTATTCAGACATGTATTAATGATTAGTGACTGTGTTAGCAGATGTTCTATAAAACTCACAACAAATTCCTTTTCTAATGATGGCCTATAAACAGTTATTAATGCAGGAATTCACAGTTACAAAGCACTTACTACTTGTTAATTAAGTATTTTGCACGAGCTCATCTAAAGTGAGCACTATCTATGGCTTATTAAGCATTTACAAATGAGATATAAAGGCTGACAATGCCTCGAGACTCACAAAATGTTCAGTTATCTTAACAGACAAAGGAGAGACACAACACAAAGGGATATAGAACATATTGTATTGATATTTACTGCAACTTCCCAACATATTGTATGAAGACGAACAAGGCTGGTTTATGAAGACATGCTATTGTTGTGATCTTCTCTGTTTGGGACGTGGACGTTGACCCGCCTCAGCACGTCATCAACGTGATGACGTGCTGAGAGCGGATGTTACGTCATGTTTACGTTAACTCTCAGAAGTTTCTGACAGTGCAGCCAAGGGGAGCATGGAGGAGCACATTGGAGTCGGCGGCCGTCAGCGGCACTAGTGGAGAGTATGTGTCTTTGTTTGGTAGCACACATTATGGTTGAAAGCTAACGTTAGCTTGTCAGCAGCTGCAGGTGTTTGCTCTCGCTCCCCGACTCACGTTACTAATGTTAGCCAATCGGGTGTAAATAATCAATTGTTTCTTTTCTAATGTGACATGTGACATCTAGTGGCAGTACATTTTGTATATATAACCATAGAGCGTTAAACTCACTCTGTGGGATGGTAAATGTGTATGCAACATTTTAGTACGTGTTAGTACAGTTACAGTCAATGCACTGTTTTTTTTTCTTTTTGGAATGACTAAGCCCCTTCACCTAATGTCTGGCCATCACATTATAAGAACAGATGGCCAACATGGCCTGGTAATATTAGAGGGATTATTAGGCCAGTGGCAAAATGCTAGAGTAAATATGCACACATTGAGGCATGCGAATGAGAGTGAAAGCTGTCTTGGTACTGCAGCAGTGCTGACTCTCAGTCACCTCACCATTAGTTTACCACATCATTAAAGATGGCAGGTTTATAAACAACATTTTCTGTCTGTTGACATACATGCTTTCCTGCATCCTATAGACAAAAGTACCAGCACATAATGTCTCTATAAAGGGTATACGCTTGGTTACTAGCCAATTACATTTAACAATAATAATAATAATAATAATAATAATAATAATAATAATAACTCAAGTGACGTTTACTGTTGCAGTTGCTGTTAGGGTTATGATTTTGACATTGAAACAACATGGTTTTTCAGTTGAAAAGACAGTCAAAAGTAAAAGTTTTTTCAATGACTATTGATATAACATTCACATTTAGACCATGTTTCACTTGGATTTGCAATGGTGACATTCTATTGGATCCTGAAACCACATCCAAATTTCTAATTTGAAAGCCAGTATAAATATAAGAACCTGCCTCACACAGAACTTAAACCAGTCTCTTTCAGGGAGGTCCCATGATCAACCCACTGATACACCACACCTTCTTGATGGAATAGCTGCTACTTATACTACACTTCTAGACTATGTACTTACATTTCCTAAGCTTTCTGGAAAAACAGTCGAAGACCAATTTCTCACAATACTGTAAGTCCTGGTGCATACACCTTCAGAATAGTTGATGCTGTAAGCAATTCTATACTATTTTACATGAATGTACAGAACTTCTTCCATTACAATGTATTGGCAGCTTTCTTATTTATGACATTTTATATTAAACATGAAACAAATGAGCTGAAAAAGAGGTCTTAGTTGGATATCACCCAGTTTTAATACCCTGCTCAGTACAAATCTTGGTATGGACTAAATGGTTTTTTTTAATTTATTTTTTTTAATCATTTTAATCCCTAAAATTAAATATCCTGTATTACTAGGGCCCCTTAGTAAAGTGTGAAGTGATTATCAAGAAATATCTGAAGTAGTGTCCAATCCAAGCCTCAAACTATTATGACATCACACATTGGTTTGAAGCCTCAATTTCAGCATTTCTTTGCAGCCGGCAGCAGTGACGTAGTGCTTGTTGCTTATTGCCTGCACTTGGTTTCAACTCTTGTTTATCTTATATTCCAGCTAAACAGTACACTATTTGTCACTGTTTGTGAAATGGTTTTAGGGGAGAAATAGTCAATGCAGTAACAGAATCTTGATTGATATCTGATCAGCACTGCCTAGTTTGAAAGTTTGGTACGTTGAGCTGGACAGACTCACTGAGAATGACTTGTCAATCGCAAGGTAGCCTCGCCCTAAAGCATACCCTGCTTTATGGTCTGTTTTACTCTAAATGGGACCATCAGTTACTAAATGAACATCATGCTGTATGGAAGAAGACTGAAACTAGAGATTGAGACTATAAACTTATTTGGAAACTGTTTACTGAGCTAATAAATCAAGTGAGAAGTAGGGTCATTTTCTATTTCATTACATGCAACTGGGCTTCCTTTTGCCATGAATGGAGCTGCCCCCTGCTGGCCATTAGAAAAAATGCAAAATGATCAATGTTCAAATCATAAATCTGTCAATAAAGTAAACATGGACTTCAGCATCACAGACTGTAACAGAGGCAGCATTTTAAACTCACCTGCACATCAGTTATTTGTTTATATGTACACATTCTGTATTTAATTAATTGAAGATGTATTCATGCAGTTTACAGTGAGAAAGAACTAGCTGTACAGCAGTAGGTCATCATTACCTGTTGACTCTCTTCATAGCAGAGCTGTCTAGTTGCCTTTATTTGTTCTATCAGCTTCTCTTTGTGTTTCTCTAATTTAACTAGAGTCTCCTCCAGCTCCTTGCGGTCCGACTGCTGCTCCTGAAGCTCCAAGTTCTCCACCGCCACTGCATTCTCCAGCTCCTATAATAACACACACACACACACACACACACACACACACACACACACACACACACACACACACACACACACACACAGACACACACACAGTTCAGGATTTAAGAATGATTCAAACTCATCTGTGGAAGGATGATACATGCATGGAGAGGTACAAACACACACACACACACACACACACACACACACACACACACACACACACACACACACACACACACACACACAGAGGTGGGAAATGGAGACTGAAATGTGCTTTCAATACAACCAGATGATCCTATATAGGTAATCAGTGACTTGATTTGCCCTCAATGCACAATCACATTAACATGTACCGTGCTCACCTCCACATGAAATCAACTGCAGGTTCAAATATAGTAAGATTTTGTGTAAGAAGAACAGCTTGTCTGTTTTATCCACACTGTAAAACAATTTTAAAAACTCATAATTTCAAGGCAACTGTCCTCACTAAATGTTTCAATTTTAACAAAGTCTTTAAATACATTTTGAAAGGTTTTGCTGACCTCTGATCTTTTCTGAGATAAGTTACTTTTCTTCATTAAAAGGCTTAAATCTTTTAAGTTTTTATTTTACGTTTTCTTAAAGTTACTAAGTTATTTTAAAAAACACTGAGCTGTGAACCAAATCTTTTATTATTTGGGTGCTTGAAAATTAATTTCATATATTATCGATCAACATATCAAATATTTATATTAAAAAATGAAAAAAAATTGTAAAGCTTTTCTCTTCTAAAGGGGAATAGTAAATTATCATTATTATTATTTGTTTATTTCAAAACAAAAAAATCTGTGTGTGTCGTAGTATAGTTTAGCTCAAAGACTGGAAGCAGGGAGAGCTCCAGAATCTGTGGAAAAATATATGACCAAGGTTTTGGCATCATAAAGGTTCTGGACCAATCAGGTTTGAGCAGGCTTTGGTTTGTTTGTGTGCAGGTAAACAGTCCATGTGGAGAGCAAAAGAGGCAGAACACACTGGCCAAAAAGCAATCCCATTGGCTATCATCTGACAAAGATTTAGCTTTTTGTTAAAGCTGCAGTAGGTAACGTTTATGAAAAATAACTTTATGTCATTTTTTTTCATTTGTCATTTTTGTCGTATTTTCTAAAACCTTCACTATATCCTGACAGAATTACATGAGACAGATAATCTTCTTAAAATCTGCTTCCTCTGCCTCCTCCTAGTGCTCCTAATGGGCCACTCAGAGTAAAAACAACCAATCAGAGCCAAGGAAGACATTTGATTGATGTGTCTCAGTCCCAGGTTGTCAAATGCTGACCCTTTGAGTTAGTGGTTCGACCCAGAGCGTCTTTTGCAGCTTTAACTTATTATGCAAATGTATCTTTCTCACCATTCCATCATATCAATTTGCTAATCAGACTGCAGAGGATTTGTTGGCCTGGTTTATCCGCTTTCGGGATATCTACTGGCTACACCGGAAGCCCTGAAAACATTGGCTGTTGTGCCCATTATCACAAGATAGCTGATGATTCCAACATTGGTGCCGCTCAACCTTTTGACACATTTTGCGGCAAAATTTGCATGCCTTCCTGTCAGAAAAAAAGTCTACAGAGTCTATCTTCCCAAATGTGTATACTTGCAGGGTTTCTCATTACTAGAGTAATCCAGTGATTGGTTTTGGCACAGGACCTGGCTACAGGACCAGACCCGATTTGCACTGAGCATGTGTGTATCCACAGCTTTATCCAGTCTGAGACTAGTCCTACAGCATCATGACATCACATGAAAGCATCATGGGAAATGCAGTGATGGTGGAGTCCAAACTACAAACACACATATGATTTATGTCCTGTCCACATGATTTAACAAACTCAAATGAATATGATACCAACACAAAACACACATACACACATATAAAAACCAAACACACACACACACACACACACACACACACACACCAGCGCTAGATGCTGCGGTCTTCTTACTCTGATCTCGGCTGCCTTGGCGAGGGCTCTCTCGTCAGTTTCCACGACGTCTGTGTCCCTGGGAGACGACCAGCAGAGAAAACATGAGTGTTTCAGAAGGGAGGAGAGGGAGCACTCATTCTTCCAGTCTGCCTTCCCTCCATCATGCCCTCCTTCCCATGATCCCTCTATTTTTTCCTGCTGCACTGCTGGCTCCTCCATTGCTGCCCTCGCTAGCTGTCTCTACACTGCAGAGGAGGTGGAGCTGCCTCTGTCAAAGTGTCTGTGGGTGTGTGTCTGTGTGTGTGTGTGGTGATCAATGCACACATGCAGACTGCACCAATGTGAGGATGGCAAGAGAGAGGGGGATGAGTCAGAGTGAAGGCAGTAGAGTAGGCTTTCCATCCGTAAGACAATTTATTTCCTCTCCTCTACTCTCCTCCCCCCTCCTTCTTTCCCTCCTACCATTGCGCTGCTTCTCTACTCCTCACACATCTCTTACCTCCTCCTTTATTTCCTTCTCCTCCTCCATTACCATCACTGGCCACTGCAGTATGCATCGGTCCAAACACACACACACACACACACACACACACACACACACACACACACACACACACACAACAAAAAAAGCTGCAACTAAGCCATTCATAAAAATACCAGGGAGCAGAGAGGCAGCACAGGCAAACATCGCCAATCAATGAATAAAAAATCACAAATGTATTTTTAAAATGTCACCATTTCTTTCTTGCTTCAATCAACACGAGTCGTGAATTTATTAGAAGGTTCATGATTTACAGTTACTATTGATCACTGCTTACTATAATCTAATCTAATTAAAGAGGCACTCTACCATAAAACATGTTTTTTGAACTAAATTATATGACTACACTGTGATGAAACACATCAATGCTGCTGTTAATATCAACATTCTTACCATTTCTATGGAAATCTGCATTTTATGGTTTGAAATTGCCCCAGCAAACCATCTACTGTTTTAATTCACTCTGTACCATGCAAGGCCACATAAAAAAAATGTTAACGTCTCCAATCAGTGGAGGGCGTCCCACCTGCCCCAGCCTCTGCTTTGAGTGGGAGTCTGTGAAACCGCTGTGCTCATTATCTAATCTATGCTGATGGAGACACATCATTCACAGGAATTTCTTCTTTGCGATCTTTACCTTCATCCCACACAATGACATTCCCCTCCACAGACACACACACATACCGGACAGTTAGCCTCTCTGAGTTGCTAGCTTAGCTACAACACAGCCTTTAGCTCAGCTACAACACAGCTGCTAGCTCAGCTACAACACAGCCAACACACAGAAACCTTTACAACAGTGTGAACGAGCCTCCAGCAGACTCTGTGTTTCCAGCACGGACATTGAGTCTGACAGCAGCTGCTCGTGGCCGGTAAGCTCTGACTACCAGCTCACTGTTCCTGCTACACTGCTGTGGTCAGTGTGTTAATCACTCCAGTCGCTGTTAAAACCATGCCCCTTAAAGTCACTGTCCTTTGCAGGTCTCTAATGCATTTTTTTTAAAGGGAGGGAGCTAGCAGAATGGAGGGGTCTAGTTACACTTTAAAGTATGCATGTGTGTATTGTATTATTATGAAAACATAATATTTTTTTGTTATTGTTTAGATGTGAGAGACCCCCAACAATAGAATTGTATTTGTAATTGTACATATTGTACATTTAACAGTATAACAGCACAAAGAAGCTAACAGCTGCCTTTGTAATTAAACATGGCTAACAGTTATTCAACACTTTCACACACAATAAATGTTACAGGCAGAATGGTGACCAGGAAAAAGAGTGATGTATGGAAATATTTCTAATGTAGATAAAAAGAATGTGCATGTAACATTAAACATTATAGAACAACCACTTTGATGATGAACTATTTGTGGATTAAGCACAAGGAGTGAACAGCAAAGACGGATAAGAGGCAACCTCTTATTACGTCATTGGCTAATGTTAGCAGTGTGAGCAAGCGCCACAATTCAGCAAGCTGATGCCGTTTGTTAAGCTAGAGTACAAGCTACCAACAACGACAAAAGTGTAGAATATGCGTGAGGAAGGAGTGGGGAAATTTAAGGTTGATTTGAACTTTTTAGCAATAGTCTACAGAGCAAAGTGGCAGCAGATGAAAAGGTAAACCAGCCACAGTTTTTTTACCAGCCAAATCACTGAATTATTGCCACATCTTAATGTTAGTGGATATCTTTTTTTTGTCTTCATGTCGGCTAATCTTTAGTGTCTGTGCAGCGCAGAAAGGTAAGATTTTGTGGGGTTATGCTCGAATATGGAAATGACTTAAAATGCCCATTCTTAAGAATGACAGGCAGTTTAACAAAATCTACACTAGAAATAAAAGTACATGCTTAAACTGATGTATTTAATATATTAATTATGATTGCCACAGATTCTCATTATTGATAAATGTGCCATAAAATGTATTCTCTGAATTAATCTAATAATAATAATAATAGTTTTTCTAAATAGTAAAAAGTACCCATTACATATTTTTTTAAGATCCCACATCAACATGGGTTTAGTCCAAAACCAAAACATATTCCTTTTGACAAAACCTCACGTTTGAAAAGGTGGAACCAGAGAATGTTCAGTATTTTTGCCGAAAAAAGACTAATGCCTAATACTGATAAATCAATTCTGAACAGTTGATTAGTTTTCTGGTGAATTGATTAAGTAATTAAAGCTCCGAAATGTATGCACAAAATTATAATGAACTATATTGGACATCCTTGGGGTTTTGAACACAGCTCACAAATTAGACATGTGATTAGTCATGAGTATTAAGGCTGTCGCGATAAATTCCCTTGTGGGGATTTAGGATGCCTCACTAGGTATGCGGTATTATAGACATTTTTGTTGTTTGAACTGAGAGGTACGCAGTAGCACTGCATGTCAGACAGAAGCTCTGGAACACTTTCTTGTCTTAAAAAACAAAGACTGAACATTTATGTTGCGATGTGACGTCACGTGCGGTTGCCCTCGTCTTGTCAATAGTGCTGTATTTCATTATTTCGACAGCCCTAACAGGCATGTCCATTTTGTCCCTTTGAGTCTGAGCTTGACAGCGTGAGCAGTTTCTACTGTACAGCTACTGTGTCACTATGATTTGAGCTGCTGTCCACAACTGTAACACAAGCCTGCAGAAGAGTGCTGATGTTAACCTAGTTACTGCTGGGATTCCTTCCTGCATTCAGCCATCGACATTTAGGTTGAAAATACCACTCTTCTGATCTGTTAAAAGAATTAAATGGATCAGAATCACTTGAACAACAATTGATTTAAATGCTTTAATTTGCAATAAGCGTGCCTCAACAACAGACATTATATTTGATATGAACTGCAGCTGTGTACTTCAGTTGACTCAGCATAGGTCTGCTGCTACTGCCACTGCTGACCTTCAAGTTAACTTGTATTGCTATATTGCTTGAGCAGTTTAAGCATCGGAAGCACTGGAAGATTCTTTCTGACACAACATTAAATGATTCATTGGCAATAGCAGAATATATTTGATCTGGTCTATTAATATGTTAAGTGTTTCCATTAACAATCTTCAGCTATTATTATGAAGAGCTAAACAATAGCTGGCTATGGCCAATGTTGTTTTTGCAACAACAAAAAAGAAACATTGATCCATCTTTATCAAAATATTTTTAAACTTCTCTTACCAAAAACCCTCTTACACACTATTATTCAATGTTGCTTTGAAGAAGGAATAATCCACTCAAAGTTTCCATAGGTCACTTTCAGAAATCACCCCTCGATAGTGACACCAGTGGCCATTTAGTGAACTGCAGTCACCATCCTGCGGCTCACACTCCGTACACAGTCCGCAAGCATTGGCCAAAATTAGTTTTGCAAGCTAACGTTGGCCAACTATAATATTCACTCGGATAGTATTTTCCTAGTGATAATGTTATGTGCACGCAAGCTAAGGGTAGCCAACCAGCTGTAACCCAGCCACGCTGAATAACATTATTTGACACTGGCTGTCATGCAAAGCCTACCGATAAAGCAACCTACAAATGACGAGCCAGTAAATTACTTAAATACATAAAATACCTCAGAATCTTAAGTCTTTTGGGAAATATCTAGGCTTATATTTTATATATTATTATTATATAGTAAGTGATGTTAATAAATACTTTACATACTGTTGTTGTATGTTTTGGATTTGCAAACTAACTAGTGAAATGTAGTGGACTAAAAAGTACAACAGCTCCCTCTGAAATATTGTGGAGTCATAGAATAGGATACTAAGGTAAAGAGAGAAAAGCTTGTGACAAATTCACATACACTATTAAGTAAGTGTACTTACCCTCCACTGTAGGTAGGCTCAGTGGTTCAAAATCTGTTTTCAGAAAGGATTGTTTGGCATTTTTAGCTAACCTTTTCAACTATTTATCTGTTTTTTGCTATTTTGATCATTTTTCCACTTTTATAATTTTTCTCAATTAGTTTTAACTCGTTTTTCCGACAATTCATCTGTTACTTTTTTATACTTGGACCATTTATCAATTTTTAGTTGATTTATTCAATCATTTCCTACATTTTAGCTAACTATATCGACATTTTAATTGTTGTTGTTGTCGTCTTCGATCATATATCGATATTTAGATGCTCTTTTTCATTTATTCATGCATTTAATATGATAATAATTTAACTGTTACTTTTTTTCTATCTTGACCATCTATTTGTAGATGATTTGTTCAACCAAGTACACATCTTTAACTCATTGTATCGACAATTTATCCATTACTTTTAGCTATTAGACTTTAGCTCGTATACAAACTCTTCATGTACTTAACACCTGCTATCCAGGTGAATTATATATATATATATATATAAGTGTACCTCTTCCTTCATGTTACTCCACAATCTTTCACCCCGGTAACTGCAGAGGTATCCTATGGAGTCATGGCTGACATATACCCGTGATTGGGAGCCGCTGTAGGCTAAATGATGTTACATTTGGCACATCCCATACTAATGAACGTTAGGTTCATTTAGCTCGTCTGCTAAATCTCTCAGAAACCTGGGACAGGCCCTGAGCTGCTGTAGCCTACACTATTTTCACTTAAAGCCTAAACCTGAATTATGGGTGTTCTAAGTTTAACGAGTAGCCTCCACTTACGACTTAGTTAGTTTAAAGTTTAAAATCCCTTTAAAATAATAAAACAATAGGACTCGTGCGAGTGTAAAACACTCACTCTTTCCAGAAGAGCTTTAACGGTAATTTTACCCTTCATCCTTCGGGTTTGTCGCTCGCGGTGTCCTCAGGCAGTCCAGGATAAAACGCATCATTACTGCAGTGCTCGCGCTCTCATTCTCCGGCTCTCGCCTCCGTTACAAACAGGGCTCGCGCTTCTGG